CCTTGTCACCGGGAGCACCAGCGGGGCCGGGGGGGCCGATGGGACCGGTCAGACCTCGGAGACCGTCTTTGCCAGGAGCGCCGTCAGCACCTTTGGGTCCGGGGTCACCCTGGGGAGGAAGAGGATTGTGGGTTACTGGGGAGGTCCCTTGCGGGGGCTCGCCCCCTCTTCCCTCTTTCTTGGGTGCACTGAGCCATTCCTGGTTCTTCATCTTCCCTGGGAGAGGCTGGGACCATCCTCCTCCTCCTCACCAGAGCTGGGGTCTCAGTGAGAGACTGTTCCCAAGGGCCACACTCGGATGAGGACAGAGGTGACACTGAGCACCCCCTTCCCCAGGGCGTTGCTTCCCCCCAGCCTTGGCTTGGGGGCACATCCAGCCCTGAGGGGACAATGATGAGGGGGCACAGGGGTGGTGGGGAGCAGGTGACCAAGGGGGACATCAAGGTTTTGGGGGCACATCCAGCCCCAAGGGGTTGATGAGGGGAGCACAGGGATAGTGGGGAGCAGAGGAGAAATGGGGACATTGGGGTTTTGGGGACGTATCCAGCCCTGACGGGACTATGATGGAGCACAGGGGTGGTGGGGAGCAGAGGAGCAGTGGGGACACTGGGGCTCTGGGGGGCACATCCAGCCCCAAGAGAATGATGAGGGGGGCACAGAAGTGGTGGGGAGCAGAGGAACAGTGGGGACATCAGGGTTCTGGGGGATGCATCCAGTCCCCAGGGGACAATGAGGGAGGCACAGGTGTCTGGGGACACGTACCCTGTCACCCTTGGCACCTGGCAGGCCGGCAGCACCACGTTCTCCAGGCATACCCTGCAGACCGGGGGGCCCTTGGCTTCCGGGGGCTCCGGGAGCACCAGCATCACCCTGGGAAAGAGAGACAGAAAAGAAGGATTAGCAAGACCCCAGCACAGCAAAACCCTCCTGGCTCCAGCCCCAGCCAAAGAAGCAAAGCCAAACCCATCGCCCTTTACAGCTGCACTCAAAAGCTGGGGACAGTCACCCACCACCCTGACATTCCCAAGCTGGCACCTACCTTAGCACCATCATTACCGGGAGCACCGTTAGCACCACGAGGACCTTGGGGACCGGGGGGGCCTTGGACACCACGTTCACCAGGGAAACCTCTCTCACCCTGGAGGGGGGAGGCAGGAGAAGGGCCGAGGCCATCAGGGAGATGTCAGGCACTTTGAGGTGCCAAGAACCGATGGGGAGTCCACAGAGTTCAACTTACCCTGGCACCGGCGGGGCCGGGGGCACCGACATCTCCGGGGACACCCTGTGTGGGAAGGAGAGGGTGTGGAGTCAGAGGAGGCACTGGTGGGGATGGGCAGAGGGGTCCAGAGGAGTCCACAGGGTGCCCCCAGGGGTCTCTCAATCCCTGGGGCAGGGCTGGGATCCCCACTGCTCCCCCACTGCGTGAAGCACATCACTGGGGGGACCCCCCATCAACACGCCCCAGCCACGGCTGGGAGAGGGGACATGGGAAGGGGACAGGGAGGGTCTCAAGTCGCCCACGCACTCACCTGCTCACCAGGCTTGCCAGCCTCTCCGGGGGGGCCAGCGGGGCCGGGCAGACCCTGGGGAGGAAGAAGAGGAGCAATGAACCACCAGGGAAGTGGGAGACCAGAGAGGACGAGGGAAAGGGTAACATCACCCCCACCCTGGGTGGTTTATGCCCCTCACCACAGAAGGGGACACCCCTCACCTGGAAACCAGGAGCACCAGCAGGACCTTGTTCACCTCTTTCTCCAGCGGGACCCTGGGGGAGGCAGGACAAGTATTGAGGCTCAGCTTCTGAGCCCCTTCTTCGGTGGCAGAGCACGGCCGTGGGTGGCCACGGGCTGGGGGATACTCACAGTGGGGCCGGGAGGACCTTGGGCACCAACTTCACCGTCTTTGCCAGCAGCACCCTGGGGAAGAGGGATAAGAGGGTGCTCAGAGCACGGCCCCGACCTGCAGCCCCCGCAGAGCTCTGTGAGTCCCGTCCCCCCGCCCCCGCCTCCCCAAAACAAGGGTGTGGCCACACGGCGTCCTTCGAAGGACGGGAGACACCGCGGGGCGAGCTGCCCACGGCCACGTCACCTCCCTGCTGTCCCCGCTCCAAAGCTGCCGGTAGCCACCGGGATGGAGTCCCAAACACCTCATCCCACTGCCCTCCTCGTCCTTGGGGCTTTCCCTGGCACCGCTCAGCCATCTCACACCCCATCCCTGCCACCCCACACTGGGGTGACTCTCCCTGCCACCCCATCCTGGGGTGATGCCCCCTGTCACCTCACACAGGGGTGACCCTCCCTGCCGAGCCCCCACCAGACCGTTTGTGCTCCAGCAAATACTCACCACGGCACCGGGGGGACCGGGAGCGCCTCTCTCACCAGGTTTGCCGGGCTCACCCTAAAAAGAGAGCAGGATGAGACCTGTGACGACACCGGGGGGGGGGACGGGACGGGTCCCCTGAGCCACCTGCCCATGCACAGCCACCGTCCCCGGTGGTGGCAGTGGCCATTGGGTGGGATCCCTCACGGACCAGGGTGCAGCATCACCCTGGCAGCCCCCCGGGGGGGGTGTGTGTGTCACACTCACCGCAGCACCTTTGGGACCAGGGAATCCCATCACACCGGCTTGACCTCTGGCACCGGGGGGGCCGGGGGGGCCAGGGCGACCGTCTTGACCAGCGGGACCCTGTTATGGGGGGAGCCAGAGCCCCATCAGCTGAGCCCCCGGTGAGCCAAGGGAGGAGGAGACATTAGTGGAGACAGCGGGGACAACTTACAGGGGGGCCAGTCTTGCCGTCGGGACCGGGGCTCCCGGGGCTTCCAGTCAGACCCTGCAAGGGAATGGGAAGTGGGTCAGGAGCTCAGGTATCCCAGGAGATGCTCCAGAGAACGGGAGCATCCTGGAAAGCAGCTTCTCCGTTGGCACGGGGAGTGTGACAGCCGGCATCCATCAACGTGGCTCGTTGCTGCTGCTGCCACCGGTTTGTCTCCGTGCCCCCGCCACCCTTGCCACGCTCACCTTGGCACCGGGGAGGCCGGGTTCCCCGGGGCGTCCAGCTTCACCAGGAGATCCTTTGGGGCCGACGGGGCCGGGGGAGCCGCGCTCGCCGGGGGGACCCTGGGAAGGGCGGGAGAGGGGACAGGGGTTACTCTGACTGCGGGGCAGCACCCGGGGGCAGGGCAGGAGCAGTGTCACCGGAGGTGGCAGCGGCACAGAGCTGGTCTGGCCACTGCTTGGGACAGGTGACAATGCTCAGCGTCCCCATAGCCCCGATGACGCGACTTTCTCATCCAGACACGGGCACCCACCTTGGGACCAGCGATGCCATCAGCGCCAGGGAAACCGCGGCTGCCGGGAGCACCCTGCGAGGGACACCAGAGGGGTCAGCGTGGGGACACGGGGTGGCCTCGGGGGGCTTGAGGGTGCAGGGAAGGGTGTGCCGGTGTGGGACATGGCCACTGGTGGGAGTAGCCTGAGGAGGGGCTGGGGATGTCACCACGGTGTCCTCGAGCACGCACAAAGGTTCAGCTGCTGGACAGCACGGGGACGGGGATGGGGACAGGGACATGGCAGGGAGGGGACAGGGATGCTCCTACTCACACGTTCGCCAGCAGGGCCGGGAAGCCCAGCGGGGCCGGGCTCACCACGAGCTCCTCTCTTGCCTTCCTCACCAGCAGGGCCAGGGGGACCTTGGACACCAGCGGGACCCTGGGGGAGGAGTCGAAGGGATGAGCACCCACAGGATGTGCTGGGGCCAAGAGGGACCGAGACCCCCAAGGTGACATTGAGGAATCACTTACGGGTTCGCCTTTGGCACCAGTGTCACCTTTGTTGCCTGGAGCACCGGGCTCACCCTGGAGGTGGATGGAGAGAAGAAGGAAAAGCTGTTTAACACCAGATTGAGGAGCAGAGGGAGACCTGAGCCACATCCTGATCACCCCTCAGAGGCAGGAGGGTGCTCAGCATCTGTCACCCCCCAGCGCCACCCTGCCCTGACAGGGACCAGAGGACACCAGAGGAGGCACCTCCAGGTAGGACATCAGCTTGCTGGAGCAGAGAAAGGGATCCAACCCCAGGAAGAAGAAGATGGAGGTGTCCAGGGATACTCACAGCGTTACCCTTGGGACCGGGGGCACCACTGGGACCCTGAGGTCCGGAGGGACCACGGGCACCGGGGAAGCCGGGAGCGCCAGCAATGCCAGGAGCACCCTGGAAGAGGCAGAGGAGGGTGTGAGGAAACAGCACAGCCCTTCATCCTGGAGCTGGAGCGGGAAGCAAGGGACACTCACAGTTGCACCCTTGGCACCAGGTTGACCATCAGCACCAGGATTGCCCTGTGGAGAAAAAGAGGAAGAGGAGGGTTATGGCGGGGCTGGCAAGACATGAGGCCAAAGGACAAGGAGCCATCAGATGTCACTTACAGCAGGACCAGCAGCGCCAGCAGGGCCGGGGGGACCGGGCTCACCACGGGCACCTTGGGGACCTTCACTGCCACGAGCTCCCTGGGGACCAGTTTCACCCTGGGGAGGAAGAGGAGGGAGGAAGAGCCATGAGCATGAGGGTTTCCCTGATCCCCAACATGGATGACCTCCCCTCCATCTGCAGCTCCTTCCCCATGGAGGCAAAGCCAGGAGAGATGCCCACGGGACTTGTTTGGGGACATCCCCATCTGTCCCAAGCAGTGGTCAGCTCATGGCATTTTGGGCTTGGGAACCCATGCCATGCTCAGTCCTCTTCCCATCCCACTCTCCCAGTTCCCACCAGTTTCTCCCAGCCCAGGAGATGGTCAGGCAGGTCCTACCTTAGCACCAGCAGCACCGGGGAAGCCGGGGGGACCAGCGGGACCAGTTGGACCCTAAATGGGAGAGAGGCTGTATGTCAGAAGAGGGATCCCACCTCCCACACCTGGCACTGGTGGGATTTCCAGGCAGCAGAGCTCTGGCTGCCATCCAGGATTTCCCATTCGTGGTGGAGCTGGGATGGGATTTCTCTCTGGAGAAGCTGGAGGTGATTCCAGGTTCTGGAGGAGGGTGGATGGGTTTGGGGTTTGAGGTTACTTACGGGGGGACCGGCAGCACCAGGAGCACCGTCATTGCCACGAGCACCCTGTGGGAGAGGACACATCCATGAGTGATGCCCACAGGTTGGAGAGGTGACCCCCAGCCCCCCCAAACCCCGGGCAGGGGGTCTCAGCCCTGCCCAGATTGAATACTCACAGCAGGGCCGGATGGACCAGGACGGCCTCTCTCGCCAGGAAGACCACGAGGACCCTTGGGAGGGAACAGGACACATTTAGGACATGTTTGGGTCACCTAGGTGGGCACTTACCTCTTTCTGAGCCTCCTCCTATCCCTGTGCCCCTTGTCTCTCCCCACTCCTGCCCACAGTGACATTTCCAAGGGGTTAATCCCCCTCCCACCCTGGTGAATCCCTGGGGAAGCATCCCTGAGGATGAGCTGGTTCCCCATCAGGTCTTGACCCCCATCCCCATCCCCTCTTGCCCATACCCCCCCACCACACCCCTCAGGGGTCCAGCACTCACCATCTGCCCAGGAGCACCGTTCTCTCCAGGGCTGCCGGGCTCACCCTGGGAGGGGGGAAGGACAACATGAGGGACCTGCTCTGGAGGGAGGAGGGAACAGCGAGGACATTCCAAGGACAGGGGTGACACTGCCACCACTCCTCACCTTGGGGCCAGCAGGTCCAGGCTCACCCTTGGCACCATCCAGACCACTGAAGCCCTGAGTGGCAAGAGAGAAGGGGTGGGGGGTCAGGAAGGGATCTTTGCTGATGTTGGGGTCCCACATCCCCTAAATCTCACAAGCACTGGAGGGGGGACTCACTCTGTGTCCCTTCATGCCTGGCAGGCCAGCAGTGCCTGGGAGACCACGGGCACCCTAGAAGGAAAGGGGAAGTGGTCATGGAGATGTTGTGGGGGCTGTCCCTGCACCCCATTACCCCTGTCCCCAAGGGGACAGACACCTGGTGTCACCAGCAGAGCACAGCAGGGGTGTCCCCTCCTGTGTCCCTGTGTCCTGAGGGGCCACCTCACCTGGGGGCCGGGGGGACCGCGCTCTCCGGGGCGGCCGGGCTTTCCAGCTTCACCCTAGGGAGAAGGACACCGGGTTGGTGGCATGTCCCCAAGACAGGCAGCTCCTGCTCTCCTGGAGGGGCTGTCAGGGCCATCGGGCCCCAGACTGAGGGGGGACCCCATGGACAGGCCACTTACATCATCTCCGTTCTTGCCAGGGGGGCCAGCGGGACCACGGGGACCCATGGGACCCTAGGAGAGATGCAGGGCAGCAGTGAGGATGCTGTGGGTGACAGCTGTCCCCTGTCACCCTGCCACCCATCCTGGGCAGAGCCAGGCTCTGCCGGCCCCGTCCCCACGGATCCCAAAGCAGGGACAGTGTGGCCACAGCCAGGGCTGGGAACCAGCAGCATTGTCCCCATGCCCAGAGGACATCAGCTGGAGCAGGAGGTGGCAAGACTCACAGAAGCACCAGGCTCTCCAGGTTCACCAGGGGGACCTTGGAAACCTTGAGGACCCTGGGGGGAAAAAGGGGAAAAAAAAAAGGAGAAAATGGGTTATAAAGTGAGAAGTTTGGGCCTGAAGCCCCCAGTGACAGTGGAAGTGTCCTCCAGTATGGTGGCATGAGGACGTGTGTGCCCACATGCTTCCGTAGCTGTCAGGAAGGATGAGACATCCCCCAGCCCATCCCACCCAAAGGGGCCTTGGGGGTTTCTTGTCCCCAAAATCAAGGGGAGAGGAAGAGGAGACACTCACAGGAGCACCGGGAGGGCCAGGGAGACCACGGGGACCGGCTGGGCCCTAGGGGAGAATGGAAAAGTGAGGAGGGGGTGCCTTGTCACCCTCTCCCTATTGCCAACCCTTCCCTGTCCCCATCACCACCCCACTGCTGCACCCAGTGAGCCTCACTGCCACCCCACCACCATCCCATTGCTCTGCACATCTCCACTCATCACTGCCCCAAAACCAGTCCCTCCTTGTCCCCATCACCCCCATTCCCTGTCCCCACTGCCACCCCATCCCTGCCCCTGTTGCCAGCCCATCACTGCGCCCATTGCCATCCCCACACCATGTCCCCATCCCTGTTCCCATCTCCATCCATTCCTTGTCCCCACTGCCACCTCATCCCTGTCCCCATCCCTGCCCCTGTCTGCATCCCTGTCCCTCTCCCCACCCATTCCCTGTGCTTGTCCCTGACCCCATCCTTGTCCCTATACCCACCCATTCCCTGTCCCTATTGTCACCCCATCCCTGTTCCCATCACCCCCCATTCCCTGTCCCCAGTGCCACCCCATCTCTGCCTCTATTACCACCCCATCACCACCCTGACCACATTCCCCTCCCTGTCCCCATCACCCCCCATTCCCAGTTCCTCATTGCCATCCCATCACCGTCGGCTTTGACACTCCATCACCACGTCCCCCCCATTGCCACTCCATCCCTATCCCCACTGCCACCCCATCACCACCCTGACCCTGTCCCCATCCCTGTCCTCACTGCCACCCCATCACCACCCCATCCTGGTCCCCGTCCCTGTCCCCATCCCTGTCCCTATCC